ATTGAAACATTTTATTGCGGCATAAAGGTGTGAGAGTGAAAATGTTTTAAAATAAAGGGATTTCACATACAATAAAAAAAAACAAAATAATCGAATATTTCAAACAAACAATATTTTTTTGAAATTTACGTGAGACCACCTACATAAATATCGGAATACACCTATATAATAACGGAATAAATCAATTGGAATATTGTATTTTAGTATAAAATTTCCTTAATTGAGGAAAAGAAAGCAAATCCAAGGGAGCTGAGTCGCCATATTCCGAAAGCTGAACAGTGTCCAATTAGATGTTCAATAAATGTACGTAGAGAGTCCTCTTCGCCACGTGCCTGAAGTAGNTAGCATAAATAGCATGATTGTTGCATGTTGCATGTGTTCAAACAACAACAAAATTCGCCAATCATGCTGCTTATGCTATCTGTGCACTATGCTGCACCGGATCGTGATTACCCCTATTGTAATTCGGCTTTGGTTGTGTTAGAATATAGTTTCTGGCTTTCGACTAGCAAAACACATGATCTTGCTTGATCTGCACGATTTTAACGTCTCTAAAGGGTGACGTGCAATAATGTCAATGGAATTAATATAATGTCAGGAATGTTAAAAATTATGCAAGCTTTACAGTGACGCGAATGGACATTATTGCTCTATCAAAAAATATTCACAAAATACACTTCTAACATACCACATACAATGGACATATGTAGTATACAACTTTAAAAGTGCATAGCACCACGGCGCACAATAGTGATTTTTCCACAAATTTTGTTCAAAAATCCTAGAGATGGCAATTTTTGACCGATTTTAATTTTTTGTTAATGCTCGTAAATAATTTGGGAAGAGATTGTCTAAGCCCGAATTTAATTTGCTTTTAAATTTATCAAAATGCACCCTTAAATAGGGTTATTTCTATGCAAAATTTAGAGAAACCTTAAAATTAGTTTTTAAGTTTTTAGGTATTAAGGGGATGATTTCACCGCTTAATGGTGGTTGGGAATTTGCGTACTTGCGGTGATGTATTACTATTGATTAAAACTACAATAAAAAAATGCCAAACCGAATTTGAATACATATCATTTTTTTGTTTATAAAGTTCTTCTGAATTTTTCATAAAATACCCTTATTTAAGGGTGCGTTTGGATATATTTAAATAATAATAATTTAAATTCGGGCCTAGACAATCTCTTCCAAAATCATTTACGAGCTTTAAAAAATATATGTATTATTAAAATTGGTAAAAAATTAAATCCTGTAGCCATTTTTGAACAAAATTTGTCGAGTAATTCCCACTGTGGGCATTGAATATTTCTTTGGAAATAATGGCACGTTAATACATATGTATAGGTTTGCGGATCCTAAGTTAAATCATTGGAATAGGCTTTTAATCTAAGAGCTCTTCTTCTCGCGAGATTTACTATGACTCCGAATAAGACGGCGGTAGACACGTTATTGCTATTAAAAGGCTGGAAAGTTTTATTTTAAGCGGCAGTCATTTTGTATTGCCAAGTTTCGGCAGTCCTTGGTCTTATGAAGGTACTATTATCATTCATCTGTATGTGAGTCAGTGATATCACCGTTAGTGCAGTTCACTTATCTAACTCAGTGTTTTCTGCGATTATTTTCAGAAAACAATTTCTTTTTTTTGGTCGATAAATTGAAATATTCATATCCTTGCTTGCACATATGTATGTATGTATATATGTACATAACGTCCCTTTGCTGGAAAAGTGTATTTCTTAATTTTTAAATCTAGTATGCAAAAATTACCGTCACCGTCAAAATGCGTTACCCAAACGCGAAAAATTAGTAGCAAATTGCCGGCCTAACTGGATTTTTTCAAATTGCCTCTTTCGAATAAGCCGGATTTGGAAAAAAGTCGAAGAATCGAATATCCTAATTATGACCCTCTTGCAGCAAAGGTACGCCATTTTTTGTTTGCTTATTTCAAATAAAAATAAGTTATTTGTATAATGCTGGATTTCCACTAGACATTAAATAACAAAAATTTAAATGGCAAATTTGGGCATTAAAAAATATTCGTCTAATTACGTTAAAAAAAAAATATTGATTAAATTCATTTCCACATGGAATTTTTTAAATGCCTGCAATTTTTTTTTCGTTTCAATGCCTTGTGGAAAATCGCCTAACAAATTAAAACAATTTTTTTTTTAATGAAATGAACTTTATTTATCAGATTGTTGAATTCGGCGGACAATTTGATTTTTGTTTACACATTCTTTACGGTTAAATGTTAAGGAATCGATAGCGCTATTTATGTATAGATAATACTTATAACATGCTATCTGCGGATGTATGTATGTACGAGTATGTAAACAGTAAATACGAACATTGCAATGGTTTTGGTCTGTTGGCGTTGGTTGATTGATTGAAGGATACGACTATCTAACATCTCAAATAGGATAACGATAATGCATACACTGGCATACACACATATGTATGTATGTATGGAACATACAACCCGAAGGTTATACCAACACATATACAATAATGTACATTAATACTTAACAAGTGAATGGTTAATTTTAATGAGAGGATAACTACAGCACATTAATTTTGTTATTGTTTTGATTTCGGTAATAAATTCGAATTTTTGGTGCTATATTTTATAGCATGGATATATTGATGTATGTAGTAGAGCTGTCAAACTATCGATAGTCAAGTCCATCGATGTTTTACGATAGTCTTAAGGATGACTATCGATACTATCGATAGTATCGACCCATTTCATATGTTTTTCTAAATCCATTTATTTTTCGTTATCTTGTTTTTATAAATTTGTTTATTTTAGCGGCTCACGGTTGCATTTTAGTATTGAGAAATATTGCTAGAAATTCATTCGCCGTGTAAACAGTCAAGGAGCGAAAGACACTTTACATACATACATGCAAGGTGCCACTGCTCATGCAACTGCTTTCTGAAATTTCTCAATCTGACAGTCTTTTGAAATATACTGCATCGCCCGGTCTGACACGCTCTTAAGACGGCAATGTAACCTCTGCTATTCCCCCGCTTAAAATAAAAAATTGCGCTTTTAGAAATAATACGTTCATTCCTTATCTTTTTTGACTAAACTCTGAAAAGTGTCAAAATGTCAGAGCGTAAGCAAAATGCACTCACTAAAAGAGAATAACAGGAAAAAGTTAATGAACGCAAAATCCAAATTTTTAGTCCAAAGAATGGCAACAACAAAACTAACGTCAAACAAGAATAGAAATGTATGTACAAAACACATTCACTCAAGCACAAGCACAATATTGGCACTTGCTATATCAATTATTTTTTTGCTTCCTTCCAATTTCAATTAATTTTTTTACTTTTTACATTATTCTCACTTTTCGCGTATTATTTAATTTCCGTTAATTTAAATTCAGTTGAGTTTGACACTTTTCAAGATTTTGCCAGCAAAAATTCTTCTGACTAAATCTGACTACTTCGGACTGAAGAGAGTCATTCTCACTGAGTGTTGCTCTCTCATTTTTGCTGTTATTTTAGAGTTAAGGAACGCTTTTTGGACTAAATCTGACTACTTCGGACTTTTTCTGGCTATTTCTGGGAGATAAGGAACGCAACTAATGCCATGAACCAACTAAACTGATCACCCAGCGCGGCAACCGCGTATTTAAAATTGCATTTGAGAAAAAAATAATAGTTGATAACGTCATTTTTAATCGGTTGTTTCTCTCACACACATGGTTTCATTCCGTGGCGAAAAAATGACGTCACTGTGAAAAACATACTTTTCTCTCGCACAACGTCCTGGGTGATCTTTATTTTATTCGTTCGTTCATGAAATAATGCTGAACCAATACGTGCAAATGTCAAAAGCGCTAGGAAAGAGAATACGCTATCAATGAAACGATAGTGGCGATAGTACTAAAACTATCGATAGTTATTTCAAGTGACCAGACTATCGATACTATCGATAGTATCGTCGATAGTTTGACAGCTCTAGTATGTAGGTTTGTTTTTTTGGTGTGGATTTGAAAATGCAACAAGTGGTTATTTTGCAACAGCGACTATCTACAGTTTTTCGGACTGTTTCCTGTTACAGTTCTGATTTTATTTTTGAAAAAAAAAAACTGAAAAATGTAACATTAGTTAAATATATTTTACAAGCGACTAAGTTGCAATTAATAATTAATGACTAAATGAAACTAAATAATCTTATAAATTTATTTAAATAGCTAAAGTCTTTCAATATTTTTCATATCTATTTATAGCATATGCATTATAAAAATAATTTTTAGGAATTATAAGCTTAATACTTTTTTTGTTGTTGGTGAAATTAAAGCTTAAAGCTACTAAAATAAGCTTTTGTAATAATTAAAAGTCAGATTTGTATGCAAAAAAATAAACCTAAAAATATGTGCCATCATAACTATAAACAAAATACAAACAGCGTTAAAAATATGAAAACCGCGACATTTGGACGATTTCATTTATGCAAATTTTCCATACCAAATTTTGCCTATTTTTTATAAAAATATTATTAAGACAATCGCAAAAACCACAAAAATCAAGTTTTTTATTTTCATATAGAACTCGGGAAAATGCAAGAAATACCAAGCAAAAATTTCATCAAAATTTAAAATTTTTTAACACGATTTCTTAAACAAATTTTGAATATGCAATTTTGTTAAGTTCAATTCGCTTACATTTCCATTGATTTTTAAGAACTTTTTTTTCGAGGGTGTTTCATATTTTCTTTCATATAACGCATGAACAAAATCTATTTTTATATGGAAGAAAATGCACTTTATTATTATAAAATTTAATGGGCTACAAAATCGAATTAAAAAATCGAAAATATTGAAGAAAATTTGTTGATATTTCTTGGCTTTGCACGAGTCCTGTACGAAATTAAAAAAAAAGTATTCTTGTGGTTTTTGGTGTTGAATGAACTAAATTTTTATAAAAAATAAGAAAAGTTTGTTATGGAAAGTATCAACAAATAAAATATTCAAAACGTCCGGGTATTCATATTTTTGACGTTTACTGTATCTACATATATGTATATGTAAATTATATACACTTTGCTTATAGTTTGCTTATGGTACATATTTTTAGGCTTATTTTTTAACCTAAGAATCCGAGCTCTATGTAGAGTAATAATATTAAAATTAACATTTCAAAATTATGAGTATCAAAACGATTTTTTTAATATTCTAAAAACTGAATTATCTTATGTAAAATGTGTCTATCATTTCGTTTGTTTCTAACTAAAATTGCCAAAAATTGTCAAAGGTTTGCTCTTTCCTTTCATTCTGCAATTTTTAAAAGCGCACAGCATTGGCCAACGCCAGTGGCAACAGTTGACTTAGCCACGTGGCCAGCTGTTGCCCACTGCCATTGCACTGATCGGCGAGACAATCCTGACAGAATATTCGCTTGACATTATTCTCGGTTGGCTCCTCCATGCAATGCTCCAGTGAATCGGATTTGTTGGTGTAGTAGCAGAAGCGTTTCGTAATCGTTTTGCCATTGACTTTATTGCAAGATAAATACCGGTAGAAGAAAATCAAATGTTAGTTATGGCCGTATCAAAAGGGCAACTTACTTTCTTCAACAGTTTTACGACAAACGGGTCGCTCATGCTCCGAGTGTGTGGTGCTGCTGCAATTTCGCAAAACGCTGATATTGTGTTCCTTCATCACTTCCGGTTTGGGAATGTTATCCTCATCGAAAGTGACATCACAAAAGTCCTCCGCTCCAATTGTTTCAGAGCTGCAGTGCCAGCATTCCAGTTGCCTTGGTTGATTGGCTGTAAAATAAGAATAGGAAAAAATATAAATAGACTTTAGTAGACAATTCTATGAAAAAATTTGTAGGTAGTTTGTAATCGGTTTAAAAAAGCTTAAAAGGACGATCGCTAAATCTTCATAAGTCTATAAGATATATCTGAAATGGAGCTCACCATTTAGTGGCCTAAGTCGAGCCTAAATTACTTACTTACGTTTTGGCATAGATTATTTGCAGCAAGGAGGCTTTAGCTACCAACAATGGCGTAATTTCAAATACGTCGGATTAAAGTAACTTGTTTGGCCCGTGTGGCGTGGCTGGTGATGGAGCCAAGAATGCCAATGTCGTCCGCATGCGTCACGGCTTTCAGAGAGCCACTAGTCAACACACCGCGACTGCTGCGAGTAATGAAATGGGAGTCCGCAGACCCTGGCCCAGTTTTGGTTTCGATATTGTAGAAGTCCCCAAGGTCCCCTGATTGTAAACTTTTCAGCGAATGCAATCGGTTTTGATTTTTTGTCCGCCGTATTGGGTCAGCCATTTAAAATTTTTCGAATCTGACTTCAGATTCGTAATCAGCAACCCCGAAACTCCCCGAATAATGAACTCTAAGTGAGTCCGCTAAATTTTTAAAAAATCCTTTGCCACAATGGATCCACCATTTTGAATAAAGAAGAAAACGACTTCAGTTTCGTAATCAGCGAACCCGAAAACTATAGAATAAGTCGTGATCTAGCTATCTGTCATCATAAGCAGAGAGAAATGAATAAAGATATTCGCTTCTTGGCGAAAAGAGCGTCTTTAAAACGGTGCAGTAAAGACGCCATTTTGCATTTTTTTTAATTCGCCACGTTTTAGTTGAAAGTGTTTTAGTTCATAAGTATTTTGACATATTGCGTACTCATTTTCATTGATTGGAATTTTGGGCAGAGCTCTGGGCCGGTTGACGTGAATCTTCCCATATGTAATTTTAGCCGTCATCGATTCGCCACTTCGATGCTAGCTATGTTTGAGTTCCGGTCGCTTAAAGAAGAATTTTGCATGTGAAAGCAACAACAAAGTTAGCTAGCAGGGATAGACGGTAGCGAGTTTGGTTGTACCTCATTGAGTTCGTTCGTTTCGCCACTCGCTAACTGTTGGCGAATCGATGACGGCTTATATATGGAGAATCGTACGATCTTTGAAAGGAAAAAACATTTAAACAACTATGAAATGTTGGCTTCTTTCTAAAACAAACAAGTTTCATATTGAATTAAACAAAAAATCCAGTAAACAAAAACCTCCCACCTACATATGTATGTATGTATGTACGTATGTAAGTAAAAGCGCAATATATTTACACAAGGGCAGATTGTTTTGCATACATACTTCTAAACATTTTCGCATTTAAAAAAAGGGAAACCGCCGTTAAAGGAAACCAAAACAAATTTGGGTTAATGTCATGTAGGATGTATGCATTGGAATGTTGTTTACAATATACTCCTATGTACATAAATTATGGGACACCATTGACATCATCACAAGCGGCCAAGTAATGCGGTTGATGGCAGACTGCGAATAAATAAATATCTACTGAATAATGCTTGCGAATGTTGTTTCCTTGCGCTACCAATGGCATAGTCNTCGCATTTAAAAAAAGGGAAACCGCCGTTAAAGGAAACCAAAACAAATTTGGGTTAATGTCATGTAGGATGTATGCATTGGAATGTTGTTTACAATATACTCCTATGTACATAAATTATGGGACACCATTGACATCATCACAAGCGGCCAAGTAATGCGGTTGATGGCAGACTGCGAATAAATAAATATCTACTGAATAATGCTTGCGAATGTTGTTTCCTTACTGCCAATGGCATAGTAAGACAGGAAGTTCTAGTCAGTTGGGCGCCTACAATGCCACTATTTTTTATTTTTTTTTTGTATGTGTGTGTGTGTGTGGGATGATGTATGAAAGAAAGTGCAGGAAATGACCACTGATTGACAAATGCTGCTGGTGAAATTGTGCTTTCAATTTGTATAAAAATGTTACAATGCAACAAGTTTCTGAAAAGTAAGCGAAAAGAGTGCAAAAGATGTAATTTGCAAATTATTGTGTGTCACAGTGCATGCAGCAATAAAATGTTCATTACTTGCAAATTATATAGTCCTTCGAAAAAGACTTATTCGCCTTGGAATGCTTATCTACTNGCGAAAAGAGTGCAAAAGATGTAATTTGCAAATTATTGTGTGTCACAGTGAATGCAGCAATAAAATGTTCATTACTTGCAAATTATATAGTCCTTCGAAAAAGACTTATTCGCCTTGGAATGCTTATCTACAATTACATTTCCCCAACTCTTTTATTTCCCTTTAACTTTATTAACACCGATTTATGAGGAAATGTCGTCGACGCTTGGCGCCAATTTTGCATAACTATCAACGCAGCACACGTTCAAAGGACACAGCAAACGGCAGTCAGACAATTGGCGCCGCCATGGCGCGTGTTCTAATTTTTAGCGCCATCTTTGTTTATGTGGTCTTTGTAGTTGTTGTCGTTTTTGCCATTGGCCTGGCTCCATTGATATTGGCTTGACGACATACTTTATGCCCTCACTTGTAGACCTACACACATGCAAAGATAATTTTTAGACAGCTCCCCTGCTTATTTACGCTTAACAATTCCCAAGTAATGTATTTTGTATTCACAAGCATGAAATTAGAGGGATGTGCGAGAGTTTTGATATGTGTCCACACTCACAGCATCCCCATAGACAGCTTTATTCTCTACAACATACTTTCTCTTTATATTTACTACTATTTAGTTTATGTAACTAGAGGTATGTATATCTGTCGTATTTACTTGAGTGCCTTTAGATGGTTTGACTCTGGATTAAAAAAGAATAAGTTTCCCTTTAAAACTTCTATATTTTTATTAAGCTTCTATTCGAAGGGCATCTCAAACTACACCTATGATTAATTCATTTTTAAAATATTGCTTGGAAACCTAATGAAATGTTCATTAATGGAAGTATTAAAAATTACTGCTCTTTTAAATCGTTGAACTAAAATTGCACTTAAAAATATCAATAAATTGTTCAATAACCTCTCGTCAAAAGAACAACCATAAAAAAACTATTTACTCGCCCGTTTCCGCACACATTACTCAAATTGCGAAAATTGAAATAGGTTAATAAAAAAATTGGCAAAAGTGCAGTAAAGCATACGAGCGCATAGATATAACCTAGTAACACAATTTCTTCACTTTAATTTGTACTTGTATTTCCGCAAAACACATAAATAAAACTACAAAATTTCCTAGCGCAAAAGGGCTGCACTTCAGTTTGCTGGCGAGGAGGAGTTCAAAAGAAAACTACTGTGCATTTGCGAATATGTGAATATGCGTTTTCATGTATGTATGCATTTTATACATGCAAACTCCACACTTTCTCCTCTTCCTGCACGCACATTGACCAATCGCTTCGCTGGTTGTCATGGCGGTGAGTTGTGACCTGCTTTGTAACAAAAGTTTGCTTCAAGCAAGGCTGCACCTCAAAATAATTTCAAAGTTTTCACAGCGCGAGGCGACCAAGCTGATCTTCATACTCACACACACACACACACACACACACACGGTGCCTCAAGCTGCCAGTTACCGTCACTGCTGAAGACAGCTTTTAACTCATTTTTCTCTGGTTTTATTTAGTGCTTAAGTAATTAATGCCCGATGTCTGTTGCAGTAAGTAATACTTCCAAGCCCACTTGGTGGCTGGCTGTCGAGTGTCGGCTGTCCAAGGTGTGCCAAGACAGTTGCACGGCAAGTTGCGCATACGCCACGTATACCCCAGAAACTTTTGCAGGCGCTTCCACTCTACTTTAGGATGACCTTCCCGCAAAATGAACAAAATATTTCAATTACTATGCAAATTTTAAGCTAACGTCTATTACTTTTACTTGCCTTTAGTATTATTTTAGCCTCTGAAGANCGCAAAATGAACAAAATATTTCAATTACTATGCAAATTTTAAGCTAACGTTAATTACTTTTACCTGCGTCTGAAGGTTGTTTCTAGTTGCACTACCTGGCAGCTTAATGAAGTGGTTCAATTAGCGAATATTATTCCGCTATGCATTGCAATGTATTTATACCTAAATGCATATTAAAGAAACAAAACACGTTTATGTTTGTTCAAAGAGTATTGATTACCATTCCTGAAATATCCATTTGTTTACCCAACGCATGTTGTTTACCATCAGTCACTGTCAAGTGCTTTGTATAACGGTGTGTGTGTGCCAAGGACCCCCATAAATTTAATGAGGTTGCAATTCGAGCTATACTCCCACACACCTACACATGCATAAATATATTCAATTTTATTGCAGCACCTTAACACAGCTAGAATATTTTGCTTTACTGTAATCTCGTGCAAGTTGAAGAATTTTATCATTGCCGTTATTTTCATAGCCCTATTGTTTTTGCTTTCCTTATTGTATTTTTATAAATTTGAAATTGATATACTTTTACTTAAGCTCTCTGCTCCATCGCTTTTTATGTACCGCTCCGTAAACTTGCAAGTGGAAACAAGGATCAGGTAAAGAGCGCATTCGGCATTTAATTAGATATATTGAACGGCATTAGACGAATGCAATATGCTTGATATATAAATTTGACTAAGCGTTTATGAAAAATTATAAAGACAAAAGTTTTCTGTTTGGAAGGGCAGTTAGCGTAGGATGTATTTAATGTTGAATTTTATACATAAATATGCATATTCTTGCTTCCATTGGTGGGCTGTTATTTAAGTAGGAAACGATTGATTTCATTTAACTGGAAAAATACTTGAAATCCTGTGCCGGGTATTTTCGAAAAATTAAAACATCCCCTCAAGCTAAAGAAAGAATCTGTTCGAGCCGAGCGTAAGCGAAAATCCTATCCAAAATGAGAGGAAAATCAAACAAGTTAACGAACAGAAAACTATCCATTTGCATTATCGAACTTGGCTTTTGTTTGCCTCCGTTTGATTTGTTGAATGCAAAAACTTTG